TGCCTGGGAATTAGATGCCCCAAACTCCACAGCCTCATTTGCCTCCACCCACCTCCTGTTTCCCACCACATAGCTCCTGTTTTCCCCCATCACCTTGCCTTTTTCCATGTCCTTCTTAGGGTCCAGGAGGCTACTCATTAGAAAAGTCATGTCAAAGTGGCTGCTCTAATTGGGTATACAGCCCTTCATTCCTTCATGCATGGCTGGGAATTAGATGCCCCAAACTCCACAGCCTCATTTGCCTCCACCCACCTCCTGTTTCCCACCACATAGCTCCTGTTTTCCCCCATCACCTTGCCTTTTTCCATGTCCTTCTTAGGGTCCAGGAGGCTACTCATTAGAAAAGTCATGTCAAAGTGGCTGCTCTAATTGGGTATACAGCCCTTCATTCCTTCATGCATGGCCACCCAGGTGCACACCTTCGAAGGAACTATTGTATTTTATGGGACAAGTTGCAACATTTTCTAAAGAATACAAGCTTGTTCTTGGAAAAAATCGAAGAAAGGAGGATTAAAATGAGAGGGTAGAGGAGACATATGAGCTCAGAAATGTAGAAGAGTAGATTTGTATGGAGTTTTTGAGCAGCAGAAGGATAATTTTCAATTTTGTTTGGGGTCAGATAGGAAGTCAGTGAAGGGGCTACAGGACATTTGGTTTTGTTTCCTGTAGTGATATGAATGGTTACCTGGCAAGCATCATCCTTAACAGGTGATGCTTAGCAGTTACGGTTAGCCAATGGGCTGAAGCAGCCACCAGTCTGGCGCATCTCAGCCTGGGGCACTCCACCTCACCCAGAGCAGCCTCTTTCCATGGCGGGGGGGCTGAAATGCCACCCCCATCTAATCAGTTAACTAGTTAACTGATTAGCTGGGATTTTACATCCCTAGTTTCCTGGAGGGTGAGAGCAGTCTAGCATTAGCATTCTGGTTTCTGGTGTTGAGAGAGCAGAGGTCTCGAAGAGCATAAAATTACAATAGGTGAGGCATGAAATGATGAAAAGTGTACAAACTTTAGCAGAGGTAGACTCCAGGAAAGGATGAATCCGGCTGATCCCCTGCCTCTATAATGTAGTTAGAGAAATAGGTGCTGACTCCATGGGTGCTCTGATGTTGGAGCAGCCCTGGGGAAAAATTAGTGGGTGCTCAGCACTCACCAGCAGCCAAGCTCCCCCAGTGCCTCTTGCTGAGGGTCAGCCCCACTGCCCAACTCCTTTTCTTCCCTCCCAGCACCTTCCACCTGCTACAAAATAGCTGGGTTTTTTAAAAGGATGTTAAATATTGAGTAATTTACTAGTCAAGTAGTCAATGGAATTTCCATCAACAACTAGACTAGGTGATAGGCACTTCTGCATTCCTCCTTTGAAATATACAAGAGGCTCTTGTATGTTTCAAAGGAGGAATGCGAAATGCCACATGCAACCTGGGGCCAGTGGAAAGTCCCGTTGACTCTGGGCTGCATGCAGGTGCCAGCTTTGAAATGTACCAGAGTCCCCAGCGGGGGCTCTTGTGCATTTCAAAACAGAAGTGCCCTTATGGAGCCCAGGCTCCATGCTGCACTGCTGCTTTGAAATGCCACGCAGAACCCTGGTCAGCTGGGGATTCTGAGTTCCCCCATTGATCCCAGGCTCCATGAGGGTGCTTCCACTTTGAAATGCACAAGAGCCCCTGCTGGGGACTCTTGTACATTTCAAAGCTGGCACATGTGTGCAGCCAAGTGTCAGCGGGACTTCCTGCTGGCCCCAGGCTGCATGTGGAGTTTCGCATTCCATGACTCCCCAGCTGACCCCGGGCTCCATGCAAACGCTGCAGCGGCGTTTCAAAGGGGTAGTGCTGCACAGCTGATCCTGGGCTCAGCTGCGCAGTGCTGCCCCTTTGAAACAAAGAAGTGCTGCATGGAGCTGACCTCAGGCTTCAAGCTGTGCTGCCACTTTGAAGTACTCCCTCTTCCCCTCCCCCACTTTGCTGCCTCTATCTGATAGAGGCAGCAAGGGGGGGCGGAATTGACTAGTCAGCTCGGATAGTCAACTTGTCCTTAACATCCTGAGTTTTTTTTATTCAGGACACTCCAGGGTAGGGTAGGATGGAGGAAGTGGGGAAGAGGTAGAGTGGAGGCAGGCTCAGGAAGGGTTAGAATGGGGGTTTGGGTCAAGGGGTGGCGTGGGGGTAGGTCAAGTGTTCCCTGGCTAGAGCGGAACTTGGTGCCTATGGCTGAAGGTATAAAAACTAATAGGTTGCATGACGCATTATCTTCTCACAGGCTGACTTTTAAATGAATAGGCCTCTTGTAGAGCTAATACACAGCAGAAATGTTGTATTACAGTAATTGTTTTGTATTAGCATTTCTCTTGCTTTCATTTCAATGTCACTTTGTGAGAAAAAGCCATTGTGTCCTAATGAATGCAATTTTCAGAAACTTTTGGTCTTAAACTTTTCTCTGTCCTCAAAAAGATGTCTTTACTTCCAGATAGCAAACTTTTCCACATGCTCAGCAAATGTACAAGAATAATTCCCTGCATATCAAGATGTAAATTCACTGCTTACTATATGGTTCAGTGATGGTAAAAGAACTTATGGTTTCTTAGACATTCAGCAAAGCTTGGAACACAGTTGGCTGATCTCCACCTTCACAACCAGAAACTTGGAGAGAAGTTGAAGAAAGAGGAGAACACTGTTGGTACAGTACATAGTTGTGTCTAAATTTAATGACATTAAGTTGGCTACCAGGTAACCTATAAAACAGGCAGTTGCTAAAATGACCTTGTTGTTTCAGGAACACCTATTTGGATCCAATAACATTGTCATGCAACTGAGCTTAGAATGAATTCCTTTTTGTATTTTAAAAAGGATTCAAACATAGCAAAAAAGCTCTTTATTTCTTTAATGGGCAAAATATTTCTTAGAGCTATCCCCACTATTTGTTCTAAATCCTTACCTACGAAAACCTTGTTTCAGAGGAGATATACCACCAGATGATGATATTAAAATTAAAACTTAAACTTTTTCAATCGTGTCCTAAAGTTAACTGAAGACAATTTATTAAAGATACTGCTGTGTAAGCTGTCTTCTTCCAGCAAACTATTGTATCTCCTTCTGATTTAAAATTCACCTATGCACATGCTTACAATCTTTGTAATCAATGTTTTTATTTTGTTTTGGTTTCTAAGGTAAAAGTGAAGGGCAAACAGACATCCAGTTTGTGGATCGATTTGGCTTTCATACAGTCACCTGTTGTGGCTATCTTCCACAAGTAGGTTCTGGTTAAGACTTGGAACATATTTAACCTATTGACACTTCTATTGTTTTACATTCTTAGGGGGTTTAAATGCAACACTTTAAGACTTTGCTATGTATTTTTTTAATTGTGAAAGAACAAATGCTTGGATTGTAGGAGTTTTTGCTTTGGAAACACAAAGAGCCAAAATTATTGTAGAAGTAGCTCCATTGATTTTAGTGGAGTTACACTAGGAATTAATTTGTTTCTGATAGCTTGGAAAGCAGCAGCCCAAGAGACTGTTTGGAACTATCTGTGACATCTGTGCTGTTGCTTTTATTCAGTGAATGAGATTTTAAAGAAAACTAAAACCTTTCCTGAGCACTGTCCATATTAGACAACTGAAATAGTAAACACCTTGCCACTAGACAGATATCGAGACACAAAGTGTATGTTTTATTTCCTCAAAGACTATATTTTAAAAATATTCTTATGATATGTCCAGTGCCTAACTTCTGGTCCTGCTTTTCTAGGTGAATGACTGGCAGAATGACTGGGTGACTTTCTATGCCAGCCAGCGAATCCAGCCCCAGATGGATATGGTTGAAAAGAATTCAGGAGACAGAGAAGCAAGAGAACTTTGGGCACAGCTTCAGGTAGAAGAGCTCCTTCTGACTCGTAATGTATTGATAGCGAGGTGCGGGTTAGCTGACTTTCTTTATTAAAAGAAATTAGTTTCACATTTTTGTGAGAGACATATAGTCCCAAAGACTCTAAAACACCCTTCATGTGAAGGTAGAATGGTTTCATGTAGTGCCCTCCAATACCATACTCTTTATGTACTAGCCAATTAGCCTGTCATAAGACAGGATTTTCAGGTCTCTCCTCCACGACAATCTTCTCTCCTGAGCCTCCGGTCTCTCTGTCTCTCTCCTCCTACAAACTCATAATTTTGATTGTCATTAAAAATCGTTATCTTAATAAAGATCCTGGACTTATGGCTTATTACTCCAATCCTTAGCCCACTGAACCCCTTTTTGGCCCTATGGATGGCAGAGACGTCAATGGGTTAACTTCACCTCGAAATGTTCCCTCAGATGCATGTTAGCTGATATTTAGCTGAGACAGATTATCTTTCAGAGACCTGAAGAAGAGCTCTCTGCAGTCTGAAAGCTTCTCACACTAACAGAAGCTTGTCCAATAAAACTATTCTCACCCACCAGCTATGAGAAAGCTTCCATGAAAGTCTGACCAATTAAACGTTTTATGAAAACAAACAAAATCGGACAAGTATTTAACAGTTATGTAGTAGAGCATCTTTTTCATACAATTGGATAAATTATATATATCAACAATAGTTCAATGGCATTCCGGGAAATGTTATTACTGGATTACATTAACAGCAATGCTTGTGTCAGTCAGCTGGAGACAAATAGGAGTGAAGGCACATGCAAATAGAACAAAAAGTGTGGATAAAAAAATCAATGATTTTCAAAATAAAACAAAAATCTGATCATTTAATTTGGATTTTTTGGTAAAATGCTTTGAGGAAAAAAAACCAATGTAAAGATAGTTTTAATTAAGATAAAATCACAGTTCAAAAGATCTCTCACGGAATAGGGATTATAAATTCTAATTCATGTAATGTTTAAGAAAAGTTTTGTAAATGAGTTCCAATCATTCATGATTAGGGACCGAATCTTATGGGGATCTGCATAGATTTAGAGGCTTCTGTATAGATTATTTAGATTAAATCTTTTTATCTATCTACTCAGACTCAGTGCTCAGTCTAAAAGATATCAGAGATGCTTAGTTTTGCAGTTCTTAAACTGGATTTTTGTCTCCAGAGCCAACATGCTTAAATGTTTTTAAAATAAAGAAGTGAGAATTAACAGACCTCAACCCTATTGTCCTGCTGCAAATTTGTATATGGAGTCAATCCCTTACCTCTATAAAAGTGCAAACTTTCAAAAAGTTCAATAAATAAAAGCCAATATTTTAAGTTTCTCATGTTACCTGGCTGACAGTAAATTTAATTTTTATTTTAAAAATTTAATTTAATTATTTTAGTTAAAATCCTCCAAATATTGATTAACCTGTTCAATTGGAGATCATTCACCTCCCAATCACTTCATAAATGCCTTCAATTACCTTTGGTAACTGAAATACCCAAACAATAATTCATTTTCTGATATCGCTTTAAAACAAAATCTAAAGGGTATGCAAAATAAATCTGTTTAAAAATGTCTAGTGTATACCTACTAAAAATGAAACCTACACTGAGTTGTGAATATATATTAAGAAAGTGATATCCAACAGGAATGCACTTTAGGTAGAAAACCATTATTAAATAGAATATTCCCGACTAGTGATTTGAATCATCATTTAAATCTATTGGATTTAATTCAAATCCACCCTAATGTTCTCCACACTAGCTTGTCCACTGAACACAGAATTCATTCGAAAGTTACTGATAGTTGAAAACTTCCATGGGACTGGTTCTAGCTTTCAGCAATCACCTTCTCCAGGGCTACTGACTTCTGCAAGAGCTAGTCTGTGCATCTGTAATGCTGACGTACACGGCCACGCCTGCTGGCCATGTACATCACCGCCGTCCTCCCGCGTGGCAGCCCAGCTGAGCAGGCAACACTCAGCCAAGTGCCATGGCGGGAGGGAAGGGGAAGGGGGGCTCAGAGAGAAGACCTGAAGATCCCGTCTTATGACGGGCTAATTGGCTAGTCTTCCATCCATCAACATGAATCTGGAAGTCCAAGAAACAAATATGTTCTAAATCATGTGAGTTGGTAGATGACCCCAGGAAAAGTCAGCCAAGAGCCATGATGAGAGGTGAAAGGGGGCGCAAAGGGGGGCGGGGTGGTGACATACATGGCCAGACCCCATCCCCTGACCGTATACATCACCACCCCACCCCCTTCCTCTCCTGCCGTGGCACTTGGCTGACTTCTGTGCCGCTCAGCTGGGCTGCCGCAGGGGAGCAAGCGGCGCAAGCAGCCGTTTGGGCGCCGCGGTCCCCATGCAGCACCCCCTGGCCAACAAGATCATGGCCTCCCCTCCAACGTGTGCTGCAGCAGTAAGGCGGCTGCCACCTGCCCTTCCTGCAGCCAGACAGGGACCAGACCATGGGGCCTACCTCAGGATCGGGGCCAGGGACAAGAAACTGCGGCCAGATGGAGGTTGGGGACAGGCTTCATGTTAAATAAAAGTATCATGTCCAAACAAAAGGTTTCAACACAGTCTTTATTTATGGGAGGGTGTGGCAAACCTTTTTTGGGTTGGGAGCCCTCTCCTCCACATCGGTCTTCTCTCCTGAGCCTCCAGTCTCTCCTCCTCCTCCTACTGCCTCCCTCCCCCTCTCAGCTTTCCTCCGCCTTCTGCCTGCCTCTCACTCTCCGCTCTCCTCTGTCTCTGTCGGGGATGCACGTGCCTGGGTGAGTCCGGCTTCCCTCCGGCCAGTTCCTCCTCCCGATTTCCCACGGCCCTGCTCGCTGAGCTGGGCTGCCATGGGGGAGCAGGCGCAGCAAGTGGCCGTTTGGGCTCCCCTGCAGCAGCCCGGCTGAGCGGTGCAAAACTCAGCCAAACACCTCCTGAGGCAACAGCTCCCCCCAGAGGTGACTTGTAACGCTACAGAGTCACAGACATTGGGCTACTATATATATATGATAATGGGTTGCGTTCATCTTTTTGGATGGATGCACTTTAGGCTCTTTTCTCACTGTTTTGTAGAACTCTAGTCTTGGTTTAATAGGTTTCTTACTCCTCCTTTTAGGGGTGCAGTATCTTTGAATTTGTTCGCAATTGGCTAAATTTGGAGTATTGAGTAAATTTTTAACTTTAGATTTTTTAACACTGAAAAGCAGCTATGGCATATACTGAAGTTAGGAAGAAGTGACAAAAATGCAAGATGGACTCTCTAACAGAGAGAGTCCCCTGTAAGCTTGGGGATGGGATATATGATTGGATGACTCTGGTCTTCAACAGTAATGGATGTTTGTGAAAGTTCATCCCCCTCTGAACTATTTTATAAAAAATGTCAAAAGCTGTTGGACTGTTTTGATTTGCAGTTAACAAACTAATTTTGAAGTATTTTGAATTCGTTTCCATAATTGTTGTGTGTGTGCATGCTTATGATGAGTTCAACATCTGCTGGCATCCTTCATCTTGAGACATTTCACTGGTAACTCTTGCCTTCTTTTCCTCCCCAGCTGAAGATACCTAGTTTGTTCTGTGACATGGAGATTGTTCCTGCTCTCCTTCACGGAGATCTGTGGGGAGGAAACGTAGCTGAAGATGACTCCGGCCCCCTTATTTTTGACCCTGCCTCCTTCTATGGTCATTCAGAGTATGAACTAGCAATAGCTGGGATGTTTGGTGGTTTCAGCAACTCTTTTTATTCTGCTTACCATAGTAAAATTCCCAAAGCTCCAGGGTTTGAGAAACGACTCAAACTGTACCAGCTTTTCCACTATATGAACCACTGGAACCATTTTGGATCAGGGTACAGAGGGTCTTCTCTAAACATCATGAGAAACCTGGTAAAATGACTTTACACTCAAGCAGAGTAGCCCACTACACACTTAGGAAAACCCAAACTTCTTGGTGAGGCAATTACAGTAGTAATAAAATAGATACTTGATCATCTAAGAGAACCCTATTTGCACAGTTAAAGATCAGAAAGTCCTGCAGAATCCCAACTATGGCATTTTCCATCCCTTTAGGATAGTCATTTGTTGCAGGAATAATTAGTTAGTTTGCTATCCAAGGAAGTGTTAATTCCAGAGCTATGTGAAGAAGCTTGCTGTGTCAGGGTGGTGTTGTACAATTCTGTTTTGAATCAGAGAAGATAACTCTTGGGTGTAAATTACTAGGAAGAGGTCCTGTGACAGAGACCAACTGTGTCACGTTGCTAATGTTTGCACTTGCACATTGACTCAGAAATCAACGTGAAAAGCTCAGTGAAATGGATGAATGGCCTTTCCTTACATACCAATCCAAATGGCTGAAAGGGTTGCTCAGTGAAACTTTCTTCCTTTTTGTTAGCTTGCTTAGCCAAATACTTTTCATCCATGTGTTTCTAGGTACAAGTACCAAAGGAAATGGGTGGGGTCACCTGCCCAGCCTATTGCATAGCACTGGGTCCAGACTTCTGAAACATTTCAAGTTTAGTGTGACACCGGGTCTTTAGGTTTTGTTGGCATATTCCTGGAGTGTCCTGTGTCTACTAGTCAACCAGCTTTTAGTTAGAGCCTGTTTAGAGCTGATACCATCTTGCTTTGTGAATGGCGCTGTTGCCTGATAGGGTTTCCTCTCCCGCTGGATGTCTTTAGGCAGGACTGGCTGCATGTACATTTTCTTGGGGGAGGTACTGCTGATTGGCACACACACGTGACAGTCATGTTTGTGGTTGTCATCACCCACAAGTAGAGAGACTGGTTCAGTTCCATCAGACTACTGGGGTTTCCACATAATTTGTCCAGAATTCATAGTGTGGGAGCCATGAAGTGTCTTCGTATTTTTGTAGGCTGCACTACTTGCCTGTTAGCTCTAGGCATTCAAGACCAAGGGAAGTCAAAATTAGACTGTGGATGCATGTAAGTGTATCTCACCACTTAATACCTGTATCACTAAAATGTCTTAATACAGGAAGACATTACATTTCAGGGTAGTAACTGTTCCATGTGCACTTGCAGCATAGTAACACTAAATCAATAGCTCTGCTGTGCAGTCATGAGCTTCTAATGATGTTTTGGCCAAAGGACACCAGGTAGATGAGATGCATAATTTCTTACATGATCGTTAGGCTTATGGGAATGACTTTTATTGAACTAACATTTTTTTTACTGGATTTGAGTTGGTACTCGGATTTGCTGAATTTCTCTAACTGGTGGTTTTACAATGAATACTGATACAAATTTTGGTGACTACCATTAGATTATTTCTCCTCCATATTAATCCTTGTTGTAGTTTCACTGGCTGTTAATTGTTGGCTGTAAAACAAAATAAACGCCTTGCTGTGCAGCATAGGTTTTTACTCATCTCCTGTTGTTTAAATAAAATATTAGTCTCTGAATTGATTGTCTCTAGACTGTATGAATAGCTTGCAGCTTACTTTCATGACTGGGAAGCTACTCTAAACTGTTGGAGAATAGGAAAGTCTTATATCCTTCCTAATGAAAACCCAATGTCATGGTTCTTAGGGCACTCGGCACTGAGAGTTATCTTGTTACCTCCTTCTTCCAGCTTTGAGGTAGAAGTATTCCCTGTGTTATCCAGTCTCTGACACTATGCTCACAGTAATCTCAGATACTCTGCTCCCAAAGGTGCAGTGTACACCAGCTTTACTTTAGAACAGTGGTTCTCAAACTTTTTGGCCCATAGCCCACCCCATTCAATGCAGACCTTTCTGTGAACCACCTACCAACCACCAATAATGGGTGCAGAAAGGAGGAGGTGGAAGTGCAGTGTCTGTCCAGGAGGTTGGGTGCAGGAGTGGCTGTCAGTGGGGGGGACCTGAGTGAGATGTTGGGTGGAGTGGGATGAGGATGGGAGGTCTGGGCAGGAGGGAGGGTGCAGGAGTGGGATGGGGGTGTCTCAGCAGGAGGGCTGTATATGAGGGATATTGGGCTGTGGGGTCTGGACATGAGGGATTTGGAGAGCGCTTACCTGTCTCTTCCTCCTGCCACCGCAAGGCACTGTACCTCACTGCTCCCATTGGCCATGATTCCAGCAAATGGGAGCAGCAGGGAAAGCCTCCAGGCGAGCAGTTTCCTGTGCTGCTGTTCCCTCAACCCAAGAGGAGAGGGAGTGGCAGCGCTCAGAACCAATTCCTTCCCCTACAAGCTGGATCTAGCCCATGAGGCTTGTCCCTGCAGCTGGAAGCAACAATGCAGGCTGCCTGCCGTGAAGGGGGGAGCAAGCTGGAGCAGCTATCCCCCACAAAACAGTTGCAGACCACACTTTGAGACCCACCACCTTCAGTATTATTTAGGTACAGCGCACCACACTTGTAAAGACACAAAAGGAGGTTTATTTAGGATAGAGATTCTACTAGAAGCAAGAAGGTATGATGAAAACAAATGATTATAGTGTAAAACAAATAAAATGTGAACCTGAATCTAAACTTATTAGGGATGTAAAAAGTCATTTAAAAATGTAATTGTAACTGCTAAAAATCCTAGCAGTAACACGGTTAGACGCACTGTGGGCCCTGCAGTATAAAGCTTGTATATACGCTTTATACTGCAGAGCCCTCAGCAATGCTGGCTCTTGTACTGCAGTAAAGCCTCCCCAGGAGTGGAGCCAAGGAAGCATCACTGCAGGATCTGCATCTGGGTTCCTGGGAGTGGGGCCAGCAGCTTCAGCCACCTCTGCTTCCAGTGAGCCAGCCTGTAATGTGCTGTGGGTGCAGCCCCTGCCTGCAATGGGCCCCGTAGAGCTGGAGCAGCTCCCTGCTAGGGGTCGGTGGGGAGCTGCTTCAGCCTCTACCAGTTAACCAGAACCAGTAAGCCTCATCCATTAAGGGTGAGGCTTACCGGTAAACCAGTTAACCATTTACATCCCTAATACTGTTCAATCTTTCCTGTCTAAGAAAGTAGGACCTCTCCAGTTCAGTCTGTTCCAGAGCTGGCTGGCTTCATAGCAACCAGGATCCAATTTTTCACATGAACACCCCTGCTTCTCAACATGTCTTCTCAATAAAAGGATCCAGAGTGTGTTTCCTCATTCTATGTTGCACTGAAAGAAGATTTTGTCTTATTTGTAGACCGAGCCATTCTATGTTGTTTTTCTTTTTCAACGCTAAATGGTTTTGATTTTTTTGCAGTTGTCTGAGGGTTTTCGATTTAAAGTTTTGGGATGGAACAAGGCTAGGCAGTTGATTCTGGCTACCCAGGGCATAACGACAGACCTTTCTACTTAAATACGCTATCACAGAGACATTATTCCCTGGTGACTAACTTTTATTTCAAGTCCATAAAGCATATTTTTGGTACAGCTACATTATTACTCAAGTATTACCTGTACATGCATCTCACAGTGATTATGAATCTTGACAAATTTTAAGTTTTCTGTGGGTATCTTGAACATTACTCTTTATGGTTGGTGTAGTGAATTTGTCAGGTCTTAGCTGAATTGTTTCTACAAAACGGGATCCTTTGCCAAAAATTCTGTCACACCCGAATCTGACTTTTATAGGGTGTGTCTACACTACGTGCTTAGGTCAAATTTATTAAGGTTGATTGTTTTAGCACCCAATTTTGTAAAGTCAAAGATGCATGTTGTCACTGCGCATGAGGTTGACGGAGTGCATCCCCAGTAGGGTGGGTACTTTCAACTCTGACAGCAATGCACTAGAGGTAGCTATCCCACTTCCTGCTGCCCCTTTACACTCATTTACTCCCTCCCCCTGCCTGAAAGCATCAGCAAAGAATCTTG